TCTTGAAAACTGCCTTGAGTTGTTAGTCAACTGAGTGGCCCTATAAATCAAACAAATAAATGAAAGGCTACTGTGCATCATCATCCCAACAGAAGGAAAATGTTGGCTGTGTTGCTAAACTAAACTACATGATGCTGACAATGGCTTGTGTGCAAAGGCAGTACTGTACTAAAGTCAAAATAACGAGGAAATAAAATTTGTGTTCAAGAACCCAAGCCAACTGCAAAATCAAATTAGGTTTGTAAACATATGTAGGAGGAGGCAAGACTATTCCACATTCTATCTCGATTAGCTAAAAAAAGTTCATAAGTCAATGCAGTCATAAAGAGAAATGTCACGTGACTGCACTGAATTACTATGGCAACCCCAGTTCCTCCTGTTGCGGTTAATCGTGAATCACAGGTCTTTAAGAAAATACCTGGCCCAATCCAAGCCATTCCCAGCTTTATCCCTACCAGCCTTGAAGTTCATTAAGATAAGAGACAGCCTCCAACTCCCCCCACCCACCTAACTTGCTCCCTGCTATGCCATTTTGGCCACCCAGTTTTGCAGGGTGTCAAGCAGTCTGAGAACCACACATCTCTGGGCTGCTTGTCACATTCAATTCCCAGCAAGTGTCAGAATTTCTCTCCCCAGCCTGCCTCAGCAAGTGGCAGCATGCATGAGCTTGCCAGCAAGCGCCAGCATTTGCCAGCAAGCACAGCATTCCCAAAGAGGAGTTTCGTGTATTGTGATGCCTTTAAGCTGCTTTCTGCAGGGTTTTTTTCTTTTATGCCATGTCAAGCCAGCCCCATATGGCCCAGCAGGCAGGCCAGACAGGCCTCATCATGAGTGGGACTAAGAAGACCGTGGTGAATGTCAGGGAGGGCAATGGAGTATAGGATGGCAGGGGGCCAAAAGAGCACAGATGGAAAGGCAGGCAGGGTGAGTTGCAGCACCCTGGTGGTCTAAAAGCAGACAGGGTGCCAAACACCCGGATTTTGATCACTTGAGGGTGTGAATGTGGAGGTGATGCAATAGCCGCAACTTTGGGCATATTATAAGTATCATCATTCAATGCCGTCATAACTTCAGTCATTGAACAATGGTCATAAATCGAGGACTACCTGTACAGAATTTTTTTCCACTTCACATCTTAATATAAGGGACTACCTTTCTGTTGTTACTTACACTGTAGATCCTTGTTTCACCTTCACAGCATTTGAAATAGTATTTTTGTTCCAATAACAGGCTTCAAATTAATTATAGTAACTCACAGCCTGTCTCCCTGACATCTTACCTGTTTGTACTTGGAATGAAATTGTTGTGGAACAGTTAATCCACAAACAGACCGTCTTCACAGATATGCTAAACTACATCTGGCAGTACTACTAAAAGCTACCTACTTATCTGACCATCGCGTGCATAAGCACAAACCACAGCAACCTTTGTGATGGCTAGCTAACATATTCTATTTTTTACTTGATTCTTTTAACTCAAGCATGTCAAACTCGTAATGTCACGTGATGTCGCGCAACGTATCGGGCCGGGTTTGCCATTGCCAGCAATGGGGTGGGCACGGCTTCCACGTGACACGTCCGGCCCTATTTTAACTTGTAAATACCTCAAATTAAAAATGAAAAACTTCAATGACATTGGCAGACCTGGGAATAGCAGACTCTAGAATTGGAACAATTCCTTTTTGTACTCTCTCTTTTTTATGGCAAAGAGTAGAAAGAAAGGTAATCACAGCTATATTCTATGTCAGGGATCAGCAACAGGAATCACACTTTATATTTTTGGGGTGGATGTAATAATGCAAAGTGAATAGAACATATTTTTAAATAGCAATTGTTTTTGAAAGGCAGTCTTTCTTACAGATTTTTTTTCTTGCTTTTTAAAGCTATGTTAAGCCTATTTTTGGAATTATATTACAGTTTTTTTGGGTACTTCTCATCTCAGAATGGCAGGGAAATATAATACCAGTTTTAACAACTCTGGTGAAAGGCTTATCTAGAACAGTGGTTCTTAACCTGGGCGGTACCGCCCCCCAGGGGGCGATTTCATTTTTCAGGGGGGCGATGAAATGAAAAGGGGCGGCGTGGGGGCGATGGAATGAAAAGGGGGCGATAGGGGGGCGATGGAGCGAGATGTTTTGGGGACACTTTTGAGCCTTCCCCTGCAGCTCCGAGCGTCCTCCGCCATTTGTAGAGAGAGACAGAGAGGCACTTGTGCTTCTCTCTCTCTTTCTCTCTCATGTGGATTTCCCCCTCGCAGGGCTCCTGATTGGCCCTGTGCCCGGGCGCCCCGCCCTCTGGGAGAAGCACGGCCAGGAAGTCCCTTTCCCTGGCTGGCCCCATCTTAGGTACACGTGGTCGGGGAACCGCACGGGGAAGCCTGGAATCCCCGCTGGGAGCAGCCTGCCAGAGCCTCTGCTGAGCAGGCCAGCCTTCCCGCAAGCCACAGCCCTGAGAGAGAGCAGCCCCTGCGATCTCCAGCCGCGGGACCATTGGCCCAGCTGGCTGGCAAGGCGCGCCGGAGTCCCGGCTGCTTTGTCAGCGAAGAATGTGAGGTGAGCAGAAGATGGGGGGGAGAAAGGGAGGGAGAGGAAAGAGAGAGGGAGAGGGGAAAGAGAAAAAGAGAGAGAGAAAGAGAGAGGAAAGAGAGAGGAAGCGCAAGTGCCTCTCTCTCCCTCTCTCTTTCTCTCCTCACCTGGAGAAAGAAGGGGGAGGGAGAGGAAAGAGAGAGGGAGAGGGGAAAGAGAAAAAGATAGAGAGATAGAGAGAGGAAAGAGAGAGAGAGAGGAAGCGCAAGTGTGTCTCTCTCCCTCTCTTTCTCTCTCCTCACCTGGAGAAAGAAGGGGGGAGGGAGGGAAAGGAAAGAGAGAGGGAGAGGGGAAAGAGAAAAAGAGAGAGAGAAAGAGAGAGGAAAGAGAGAGAGGAAGCGCAAGTGCCTCTCTCTCCCTCTCTCTCCCTCTCTTTCTCTCTCCTCACCTGGAGAAAGAAGGGGGCAGGGAGGGAGAGGAAAGAGAGAGGGAGAGGGGAAAGAGAGAGAGAGAGAAAGAGAGAGGAAAGAGAGAGAGAGACTGTCAGATCCACCACCTTCGGCTTGGCACCTCGCTGATATTCTGCCATCAACTATGGAAGTGGGGGAGGGACAAATGGGCAATAAAGCTGTGATGGGAAATTTGGAGGGGCGGATTGACAATTGAGGAAGAACAAAGCATTTTGGAATCCAGTTCATTCTGGCATGCTGGCATCTTCAAGGCCAT